CATAACATTTAGTAGAAGGCTCTGCAAGCTGGACAAGGTTTTCTATGAGGTAACTCCTGAATTTGCCCCGGATTGTTTAGACTATGGACTGGGCGGTCTCATCAATCACCGCAAGAAGAGTGAGGGAAGCTGCAATTCGCGTTACCTCCTCAGTGCAGAACAACAACAAATGCTAAATCCTGACAAATAAATGCAGCTCAACTATGAGAGGGAGCAGCAGGATTTGCAAAAGGCTGCGACTGGCTCTTAGCTCCACTGTAGTCACTAGAAAGCTCCAAGTGGTTCAAGTTTCAGACTGCAGCAATCTTAAAAACCTTCTGGTCTCCCAGTAGCGAGTGTCCCGAGTCCTGCTGGAAGAATAAAGCCACCAGCCGAAACCTGGAGCCAAACCCACTTATTCTGTCAAAGCAAAAAGCCATTTATTCTGTCAAAGCAAGAAACTCGCTCCTTCCAAACTTACAAGTACCCAAAGCCCACAGTGCTTTCAAAGCCCTGAGGTTTTAAAACATAAAACTTAATACCACAGCTTGGCTGCCCATCAATATAGCACTGACTCAGACACAGTAACAAAAGGGGGGTAGGGGATGTAGTCGTCAGCTGCATTGCATGAAAATTATTTATTGCTTCTTATAATAGTGGAAAAAATCACACAAAAAAATATGAAATTCTGTGTTCCACAAATATACTTCAGGTTTTAGCTTAAAAAAAAAAAAAAAAGGCAAATAAGTGGCTGGGACTGTAACAGTTGTGTGTGTGCTGTGTAACCACCAAAAAGCAGGGCTAACGTCCAGGAATTGCCATTCCAAAGAGCTGTTGAGCTCTTTAAATAATATTTTTGCTGTGAAGTGCAGCACAGGGCTTTTCTTCATTCAATTGTCACTGCGTATCAAAGCTTTCCTCTCTCAGGTCATAAATCAGGTGATTAAATCCAAATGACAGACACAGAGCTTTTTAACCATAACTGATGTGATTTCTTCCTGATCTCATGGTTTTAAGACATGAGTTATCGAGAGTTAGGGCTATAAATTTCTTTAATGTCATCATTTAAATTCTATATAAACCCCACTCCTGTATCAGCACTATTTTTAATCATTACCATGGTGACAAAACTGTAAAGGTGCTTTATCAAAGGAAGCTTTACCACATTTTCAAAAACATTTTCTCTCAACTTAATTTTCTGCACTTTTTAAGCAGAGAAATATAACCCCCTCCAAATGTTCACTGTTAGATATGGATACAGATACTCACAGATCTCAGCAAATCACTTTATATAAAAAGCATTTTCTATCTGCAGGTGGTGAATTCATAAACCGGACAAAGTAAAGACTAGAGAGAGCATCATTATTCAGGTCAACTATGACTTTACACAGCAAGAAATCCCTTTGCAAATAAGGTTCCTTGGGCATTAAAGAATCTATTTCCTGAAGACAGAGCTACAACAACCCCTCAGGGAGCCAGGGAAATATTAATCCAAAATTAAAGTTGTTGAATAAAGGCCAACATTTCTCATTTTAGAATTCATTGCAAAAGGCTTGCGAATCCCCAATGACAACGTTGTTCCAGTTTCCAATTCATGGGAATCAAAACACGGAGTCTGTCTGGAAAAGGGAGTTTTGAAATAAAGGCAGTTGGTCTGCAGTGCCTGGGCAGAGCGGGCGCCAGCGCCGGGCAACGCCGCAGGCAGCAGCTCCATGGAGGTGACGTCTCTCCCCGTCCCGCACTGGGAGACCATCCGTGAGCAGTGTGAGCAGCCGGGGGCTCCCCAACACAGCGTTAAGTCACAGAAAGACCACGTTAAGATAATAGGTAGGACAGAGGCTGAAGAAGAAAAGGCTAAAGGGGTCTGCAGTTCTGCAGCTGATGAGTTTTCACTGTCCATGTCGATATCTTTACATGATATATTGTCATGACTTATAGCTACCAAATACCAAAGACTACATAGCATGGTGTCAACCCAGCCTCCCTGGTTGAAAGGCATGTTTTCTACATCAGGTATTAAGGAGTTGTGTTGCTTATGTTTAAGTGTGTGGACAGTTGTTAACGTGTTCTGCTTATTCTCTGTGCAAAGACAGTTTCCTTTGGCTTAGCTATAACCCAAAGAAAATCAGGATTTTTAAAAACAGGCTGAGGTAGCCAATAATCCTTAGGGAGTTACACACTGATACACACTGATACTCTGATTAAATGAGGAATTATGAATAAGTCTTAGTGGGAACACTTCAATCTAATGGGAAACCCGAAGGGAAACGAGTACCTAAGGAACAGTCTGCACTACTACCTCCAGACTCCCTTCAGCGAACACAGTATCCAAGGAGAGAGACACCTCTAAAAAGGCATGGAAGCATCCTGACAGCTACAGCTGTGACACACAGAATCTCTCAGAGCTGCATCTGAAACACAGGCAGTTACACATTTCATTTTTCTTTTATTTCTATTCATCTGCAGCATCTCTTTTACTATTCTCTGAGCTGCAGAAAAAAATATTCTTCATTTTTATTCTAGAGACAGATATTGAAGCAAAAATTATTTCCAGGGTGCCGGATGGCAAATTGAATTTCCACAGTGTATTAATCCTTAAAACAGTGCCACATAAAAGCTCTCTGACCGCCTGGTGCACCCTCAGATGAGGGTGAAGGATGCCCAGTAGAGGCTTGATCTTAAAGACCTTCCCCAATTCCCAATCCCAAATTCCCCAAGGGGTTCACTAGACCCAGCCTTCCACCACACAAACACAGGTAGCTCATCTCTGCTGAGGATACGTTCCCCAAGCAACTACCTTGGCTACCTGTGGAGCAAGATAGCCTTGGTCAACCTTTTTCACTTATATTATCTGTGAGACTCACTGGGCAAATATATCACTAACCAGCACAACCATCCACATACAGTATCACTGCAGAGAACTGTGTAAAAGATCCACTCCAGAAGAACATGCACTTTTTTAAAAAAAGAAAAACCTGCTTCATATGAATCTCTGAGGTGAAACCTTGGCACCTGGCTCTGAAAAGCTGTAATCTTTTTAGCTAGTAAAGATAACCTTCACTAAGATAAATCAGATACGCTGATCTTGCCACTGTTAGTCCTGTTGTGCTTTTATTTAAAAATGACAAATATTCTCAAGGTAAAGAGCTGAAAGTTACATCGTGTTCTTTTCCTGGACTACTAAGCAAAACAAAACCATCGAAACTACCTCTATAAGAGCAAAGAAGAACTTGTTAGTGCAAAATACCCCAGCAATAACAAACTTTGCCATTGCTCTTATGGGAAAAGGCTGTTTGCTCTTCTTGGTAGAAGGAAGGTTTCTAATGAAGATGTTTCACTTTTGGTTTTGAAAAAATGGACCTAAGTGGAGAAGGGGGAAAGCAAAGAAGCAAAAATAAATTCTACTTTGCAACAAGTTCAATTACTCAGACTTTCCTAAAATGAGAGGCTTAGTCAGAAGTACTGGAAAACTTAAATGCTCCTTTAAAAACAACTCCCACAGAGCAAAGTTCCTCCCCATGCCTAAAAGACACGTGAGGGAGCCAGGCCACTCCGCCAGTTCAAAGGGCAGGGAGGAAGGCACCCGCACGTTGCCTCTTCACATTCTACCTTTTCCTTGAGCTGCTCCTTCTGCAGGGAGTGGGCCCACGCCACGGACACCCCAGGACTTCAGGCTCCCTGGCTGGGGCCTAGGCACGAAAAGACATTCGACCCGTTCCTTGTCTGCGCTCTCTGAGCGGCCTCACGAAGCGGGAGGGAAAATCGGAGCCACACGTGGGGACTGCCCTGTCTTCATGGGGGCTGCCACATCTTCGCAAGCTTGAAGTTTCAACACTTGCCATCCTTAGGAGCTGCAAAGGAAGCGAGACCAGGCAGGCACTGCCCTGGTGCCGCTGTCAGAGGGCAGCTGGAGTGTCACACTGCAGCCCTCTCCAGTGCTGCTACCCTCCCGTGGGCATTTAGTCAAGGAGGATAACGGAGAAGGAGTCGGCAGGCTGGAAAAAGAGTTCTTAACACTTGGCTTTTACTGATAAGAACTTGGATCCATTCAAAACAAGACTCTGCCAAAAGCTGACAGCTATACAAAGCACACAAATATTGTAGTTTGGCCACGTAAATATTTTGCAACAGTAGTACTATCAAAAGCACCTACAACAAAACCAGTTCAGTGGGAGAGACTTCCTTAGATTTTCCACATGTGGTTGTTGTCAGCAGGCCGAAATCTTGATAAGCTGCAGAGCCAACCTGGCTGACTTCACCGAAACCCTTCCAAAGAAAAGTCCTGAGCTGGAAAGTTACTGTTTTTGCTTCAACATCACGTGACAGAGAGGACACCCATATTCACCATCTGGCCAAAACATATTTCCAGCTTCATCTCAGATCCATACGGATTCCATCCAAAGGTCAAGAGCTACATTTTTTGGTGAGGAATGTTCTGCTTTTGAGACACAATGTTGTCACTGTGATCCACTTCCCCTACTCAGAGCAATCAGCGCATTGTTCCCACTGAAAATGAGGAACGGCTCGAGATCTCTCAGATGGAAACTGCCTTTAAATCCAAATCATTCTGAAGAATAAAAACAGCCTGCTGTTTTAGTGATGCTATTTAACATAAGCTATTTAACAGTGATGCTACTTAAAATAAGCAACTTTAAAGGACACTTTTTCTCTTAATTTATCAGAAAAAATAAAAAATAAGAAGGGACCCCAAGAGCACTGAACATATAATTAGGCTGCTGTTGTTCTCTAATGTATTACATTTCACAAGTACAAAAACAAAACAATCTTTACTGTGTAGGAATGTAGTTACTATCTACTTGTGGAAACCAAATGCATGTTGACAATACTGGGCTATTTCACAAGTGAACCACACAAGCAGGCTGAAATTGCAAACATGTTCCAAATCTGCATTTCTAAAGCAAAAAGACTTCCACCATTCAGAGTCCTTGCAAGGTAGCAATGGTGAATGAGAAAAGCATTCTCGGGATAATACAAGGAAAACTGAAAAGTGCAGGACTTACCTTCCACTGCAAAGAATGGAACCACTGATCCCTCAGGTAACTGTTTGCAGCCTGCAATAAAAAAAAAAAAAAAAAAAAAAGGACAAAAAGAATCATTAGTTTCTATCAGTGTTTCAGATCACTGAGCCAAAACCAAGCAAATCGCCCATGTGTTCTTTAGATTCAGTAAAGCTGCACGCATTGTGTTTTTCTGAACTTCCTGACCTTGGCTAACTTCAACCCCTGTCTCATCAGGGTGAGTGAAACTTTTTGCTCAAAGCTACACTACAATAAATTAATTTGCTCAGAAAACAATGATGCAAAGACCATGCTGCACATGGAAAATTGTAAACCAGAACTCTCCAAAACATTAATCTCCTCCACAGTGGCGTTCAACTCAACGCTGTGAAAAATCCTCATCGATTTCAGTGAGGTTTTGACCAGATCTTTAACATCTGCAGGGCATTTGCCTTCCCTATTAATCACCATAAGCAGAGCAAGAAGATGGCTTGACATTTTGCTAGCAGGTTGCTTTTTTTTTTTTTGCCATACACTAGTTTCCTGTCTTGTCCGATTCCTCAGCTGGCCACAGAAAGCAATTCAAACAACAGCTCTTTTAGCAATACTGACGGGGGGGAGAAGTGGAGCGCTGCGACGTGCACATACTTGCAGAGACTGTTTGCAGTAACTGCACGAATGGTGCAATCAGCGTTCCCAGGGATCACCAGGTTTTGTCCGTATTAAGCCCAGCTGCCAGAAATTCTCCGTGTGAAGCAAGGTTCAGGGCCAACGCGGGAATAGTTCAAGCCTCCCAAAGGTCAAAAGGCTCCGAATCAAAAAATATAAAAGCATCTACAGTGACGTAAATATGCATGCCTTGACAAGGTGACATAAGTTTGAAATATTTGAGTGGGTAGACATGCCCTTTGGCTTTTCCAACTCTATCTCATTTAGTCTTGGCCAGCAGGCAATTTTTCACTTACAATTCTAAATGTTTTACGTGATCAGTGAACACTGAAGGACAGCCCTCGCATTCATGTTCAAACAAATGGTGAGGTTCCTCACTAGACCAAAAACTGCAGCCTTCTTGCAAGTAAAATATCCTTCAGGCTTTTTTCCCTGACACATTTTAGACATGGATTGAAAATCTAGACTGCAGAATGAATTTTATTTCTTGCAAAAATCACTGATAATAGCAAGAATATTAAACGTAAAAAAGTGTCACCAGGACACAAGAATTCTGTTTAGATCCTGAGCTCACAATGACATGAATTTATACTGATTTTTGTAAATTAAGTGTGGTAATTCTCTCCCTCCCTCTGTATACATCTCATCTCATGTGTATATATATGCATATATGTATATAAAATATTACATCTATATTAAAATACTTTTGTAGTAAATATGCTATGTATATATTTGTATATTGTAAAACATGTAACTATATATTGCATGAATGTTTTATAAAAGCTATATGTGCAACAGACTATATATATATGTATTTTATGAGGTCTACTTATCCAGTAGATCTATATGCAAGAAAATCACATAAATCCAACAAAAATCCATCTTGACTGACCCAAGAGTTTATCAATAAGAGATTTTAAATTTCATGATGTACACCAACATATCAGAATATGAATGGTAGAAACTAAACTAAAAATAAAAAATGTAAATCATTATATTTAATAGTTTGTATCTATTAAATAAGTATAAATATCGTAACAGTATAATTTTTTTGGCCTGCACTGTAAAATTCTGAACTTCAGAATACTTCTGCTTGACAGTATTTAAACATTTTCTGTCTGCTATTTACGCAATATTTTATGCATTTAAAATAAAGAAAAATCAAACACACTTTCCTATGAAAGACTGAAATTTAAATCAAATTGTCCTTTTGAAGAGAAAACCATTGTTTGGGATGGAAAAAAATATTGGCATGGCTTTTTGGACAAATGGCCCTGTGGCACCGAGCGCTCAAGGTGACTCTAGCTGAGGTTCCACATCCTGGTGCGACAGAGGCAGCAGTTCCAGGGACAGAACCAACACTCTGGAGAAGACCAGAGACAACAACCTCTCTTCATCCTATTCTCATCCAAGAGATTTCCATCCTCCAGGCTTCAGTGTGGGACCAATGTTGGCTATTGCATAGAAAGAAGAGAGATGAAGAAAACCTGCCCCTGCACCTAGGGTTGGAGTCTGAACCACTCGAAGACTAGGACCCGTCAGACAACTTCCAAGGAAAACACAGAGGACAACAGTTTCAGGTGAAGACAGAAGAGGAAAACCAACCTTTAGGGATCCCAGCAGCTCTACTATGGGACAGGAATGAGAAAGGCCACGCGCGATCCCCGGATCCCCACAGCAGCGCCCGCTCCGCGGTGCCCGGAGCAGCCGGATCACGGTGCCTGGAGCGGCCGGATTGCAGTGCCCGGAGCGCCGCCCACCCGGGGGGCTGCCTGGCCCCCGCTGCCCCCTTTGCCGGGGGAGCCTAATCCCGGCCGCGCAGCCTTCCGCCCGCCCACGCCGCAAAGCCACAGGAAACGCTGCATCTCGCAGGGGACACCGAGCCTCCCACAATACACCATCTTCAGCCCTCCTGCTTTCCAGGCTGAGAACAGGACTATTGGGGTGCTTCTTTCCTACTAGAGGAATGGGGTGCCAGTTGACAGAAATGTCATCTGTGGCTCTTAGGTGCCCACCCAGACATCTGAGCGGCTACATGCCACCTCTGCACACACAGACTTACATGGATATACAAGTTCTGACATTTAAAGCACAGAGTACCAAAGTGTAAAACTGTACAGGGAACCAGAATTCATCTTTGAATTGATAACAGTTTTATTCCCAATCAAAACAGGGTAATTATTCGTTCTCTTTCAATTTTGTAGGCACTGTATGCCATGCCGTTGCCTACATTGTGCTTCACTTTCGCCTCTGTAACCAGCAACAGCAATGTATTTCTACTCAAAGGTACACGCAAAATGGAAGCCTTTCCCTGTGAAATGACCCTTGCTGAACTGCTAAGAAAAAGCCTGGAAACATGGAACAGATCACTCATTATTCGGTGTTTCCTTTCCTGATCTCTAAAGCAAAATCCTATATTTCAGGGTTTGCTCCTCGTAGATTATTTCACACATATACACAGAGTTCTGTGGGCTTAGGACTCACCTAAGGTGCATTCCCAATCTCCAGCACACGTGCACTGAAGTTATCCCTTCCAGAGCAGTGTCACCTACATCTCTTTGCTCCAGCTGAGGGTATCACCTACCTTATTTATTCAGCTCCAGTAGGCAATAAAGAATGACACACCGAAGACTTAAAGCAGACTTTGAGTAGGGATTTGGGCTGCACTGGGAAAGGTTTCCTTCTTTTACCTCTGTCTTGCCTGCAGAGTGGGTCCTGCTCCACTCCTGCAGTTCTTCCAGGACTTTGTCTTGAAATGTTTTGCCTGCTGTGCCAAGTAGTCATTAAGACATAAATGAAGTACATTAGAGATTTTGTATCAAAATAAAATAGCGTTTGGGTCCATTTGTAGGTAGCATTTTGACAAATCAAATGGAAATGGCTTCAGCTGTGGTGAGGGTGATGCCAAGGTCTGCTTGGAGCGTGTCGCACAATCCAGACCTCCCAGTGGTTTTGCACAACCACAACACATAGTAAAAAAGTACGTTAGAGAACAGGAAAATGAAGAAATCCTTCAGAAATCCTAAAAGACTCCAATCTATTTGTAGCATTTTTATTTCTTTATTGTTCCAACAAGTAGGAAGACCACAGTGTGCCTACTTTAAGTGGTCTTTCTTTTCTGACCCTGAGTTTTTACTGTCAATTTTTACTTTTACTTTCTAATAATAGTGGTATAAATGTTAAAAAAGCCACTTGGGACTTTATGTGGCACCAACTTTATTCCTGGGATTAGTTCCAATAGTTTCAAGCAAACTGTTCACAGCAGGAAAAATGTGCAAGAGAGTAAATGTCTGCATATCTTTGGTCAATACAAATAAATTTATTTCTCTGCTCAAAAAAAGGGAAGTATCTTCCTCTGCAACCTACTACTTCACTTCTTAGCCAATGAGTAGGAATTCTTTTAAAAAGCATTCAATACTCGGAGCAATGCAAGGCTCGTCCATAGAGCAAAGAGCTCCAAGATTTGTGCTGGGCAGTGGCTGGACTCCCATTTAAGTGAAAGTTGGGTTCTCCAAAGAGAAAGCTGCCTGCACCATAGGCTAAAATAAAAATTTACCACAAAAATCCAAGGGAAACATTTGCCGTGGGGACTCCCTGGCAAAGCAGTGTGCTCGAGGCCGGAGTTGAACGTGCGAGTGCCGTGTTCGTCCAGGCTTCCTGTTTGTTTTTCTTTCTGGCTGCACCCGATTGTCAAGAAACGAATAAAACAGTGTTAGTGTTGGGGTTGGAAGAGGTGGCTTTAAGGCACCTAGGACCCATCCGAAAGACAGCAAACCTCACGGGAAAGCAGGTTTGTCCTGAGTGCAGTGCTGAAGCCTTCCTCCTGGGACTCTTTCCACATTTGGTGCTGAGTAGTTTTGAAAATTCCCCCCTCCTTAATTTCGTCACTCACGTTTAGTTATCAACTAAATTATCAACAGCATTATCAACTGCTGCATCCTCTTTATCCAGAAACGTGCCCAGGACGTGTCAACAGAAAGCACCAACGCCAAAGGGCAGCACAAAGAAGGCCAGTTATTGCCAATACTGAAGAGCCTGCACTTTTGTATAGGCTGAATTTAGCTCCTATTTCCTGGCCTAAAGAGCTTGCGTCCCGTGAACCTTTTTCCAGCAACACCCTGGCTCATACCTGCTATCCTAGTTGTGTGAAAGCGGACGTGGGGGGAAATAGAGTTCACTCCTCCCTGGAACAACCTGGAATCAAATCATTTGGCAATGGTCAAAGAAAATAATGAGAATTCCCAACTGCTGAAACAAACTCGGCACGTTTGAACCCATCGCTGCTCAGACCATTGTGCTTGTACAACAACCACCGCGTGGGAAGCACGCACAAAGATGACGTTTCGATGTGATCCTTGTCCAGATTAAGGTTCTTTGATGCCTGAGCACCAAATCCCCCTCTCTGGCTGCGGGAGATGCATCCTGTGATCACAGATCTGGTTTCCTGCGAGATGCTGCATCACCTCCGGCACTATCTGTCAAATTGCATGTGTTAAAATAGTTTGGGCCAGGTCAGTATTTCTATGGGAGGGCATCGGGATGATGTGTGGAAAGGTAATGGCCCTCTTCCTTCTCTGACTCATTACTGTGCAGTAATAACCCAGAAATAGACCTTGGTGACAGCAGGCAAGGGGGTGAAACTCAAACAGGGACTTGTGGCATTTATCATGCCTAACCCAGACAAATACATGAAAGATATCCCAATACCACATGCTGACATCCTGTTACAAGAACTGCTTGGAAATGTATTTCCATTCTAAGGGAGGTTCCATTAGTCTGACATTTGTTTCTGTTTCAAATTAAAGAAACAGAAGCAACTGAAATTTTAAACTTTTCTGCAAAATGAAAATTCTAGAAAGGCTGCAATTCAGAACTACCAAAATGCTTCAATTTATGCCAAGCTGCATCAGCAATATCACATGGTACTATAGGCCTTATGATAAAGTTTGTGCAAAAACATATCACAGATATAAAATCGTAACTAATCAGAAATACAGCATCAGAAGTGAAACAGTCTGGTTAAACATTTTCCTACAGATAATCTTCATCACCATCAAAACCATGCTTTGGAGCAGTACTATGGAGAATGTGTTTTGGACTCTTTTTACTTGTTCCACTATCACAGGCTTCCTGATCCCAGGGTCTGACTTTACCGGGCAGTATGTTGCTGCTCAGGCTATCAGGTCTGAATGGCTTTGTAAAAGATTTGATGCTCCAATTTTCCATAAATGTATTGAAGACTCTGGGAAATAGAAAAATGCTTAAGCATGCAAGGCAGAATTTCTTCGCATATGTTTCTCAGAGCTTCAACTTTTGAATACTGAGATTCTTTGTCACATATACCAAAGAATTTCTTCTGAAGTCAAACAGTAGCTAGATCTAGTTTTTGTATCTTGATTTCTTATGTATCCTTACATAATTTTCAATAACATTTTGGTTTTATTAATACACATTACAAGTATATTTGGGAAATCTATTTTAACACATCCTTTGACATGGTCACATTTAATGAATCAAGACACTACTAATGAGCAACTCATACTAAAAACATTTTCAGAGTTTATATTTTCAATTACACTGAATTACAGCCAAATATAAACTTAAGAGTAGCCCAGCTTACTCCATTTCTTTATCAGTTTTTATGAGGTTGCAGAAAGATGGCAATTTTTCTAAGAAAAAAATCCAAAGCATCCATGTTAAGACATTAATTCTTTGCAAATGTTTTTAAAAAAGAAAAAAAGCAAATGGCAGCCTGCTCCATTTAAAAATCTGCATGTCCTAACAAATTCCCTTTAAACTCAGTACGGAACCATGTGTTCAAACTTTCTCCTGTTCATGCTAAGCACGTTGGTAAAGGTAGCTACCCATGAACTATGCAAAAGGCTCAGATACCTAATTCAGAAATGCAAGTGTAATTACCTAGCTGTTGGACACAGGGAAAGGAAAGAAAAAAAGAAAAAAAACTCACACATATAAATGTTAACACCACTAAGTAAAAGTAAGGAAACAAACAGGGTCAAAAATCATCTCAAGAAAAAAAATTAGAATTGTCCAACTCAGCAAGGAGTTTCTCTCCTATTAATTCAATCAACAGATGAGACGAGGAAGATTTTCACAATAACGAGGACCCTATCAGGTTCCAGAGTTCACCTTCCTGCTGGCCCCGATTCCACACACCGTGGAGGCTTTTCCAGCCACAGAGCTGGGACTCGGGTGGACTTGCAGCAGCCTGTCTGAAATTCAGGCTCCCCACACCCCCTGGAATCGCCTAAAATCGGTAACTCATTTGAAGCCGCAGCAAATTGCCAGGTACTGAGCAGGGGCACACACACGTGCTCTATGTGCTTCTGACCACATGTCTAAGCTCCAGAGACATTTGAAAATGCACCCAAACCCTCTGCCCCAAGAAGAGTCCATGAAATCACAAGTTTCCAAGTTAAGGCTATTCAAAATTCTTCTACGGGACAGCCAGACCTATGAAGTCTCAGACGTGCACAGTAAATCTGGACTAATACAAATATGATGCCTTCTACTCAAAAACAATTCTTACAGAAGGGAACATAGAGGTCTACCTATCTATCTCTATGCCTCAAATGCCTATATCCAGCCTCAAATGAAATGAAGACCAAGCATCTTTAAAAAATATACAGACCCATCCATTCCCTTGCAAGTTATGGATTGTCTGGAAGAGTTAAAAGGATAAAATTCTTGACTTGCTTCTTGTGGGAATCAGACTATATTAATTCAGTTGTTCTAGGCCTGAATCAATGCTCCATTTCACAGCACATTATTCAGAACCACATCTTCAGCGAGCAGATTAAATCACTGTGGTGCAAAAGTCCCATTTTGACTGTCAAACAACATAAAAATTTCCAAAAGTAACACCCTGAGCAAATTTGCTAGCAGGTAGGCAACTTGACAGCAATAAATTACTTGCCTTTTCTAGGTCCAGTTAATTAGGACTAGCACTTGATGAACTGCAAACACAAATTGAAGATGATTCATTTAGGAGACAGAAAGAGAACTGTACTTCTGTGTTTACTGTACCTGTAGTAAGACAGTACCCCCCGGGATCGTGAGCTGTAAACAGTACTTAGGGGCGTTCTCCCAGGAGAGCAGTTGAACATCTTCAATAGCACTGTAGGAGATGGAGTTTTCCATGTACCCCGTTGGCTGCAAGAAAAGAGAGCAGAGGAAAAAAGTGTTTACTTAGTCATCAGAAGCTTCACAATTTCAAAGGAAAAGCAAAACAAAATCAAAATTATTCTTGATGTTGAAAATAGCTGTGCAATGGCTAATTGTAAAATACAAAATTCCTATATAGGATGTTCAAAAAGGAGATTGACACACTCACTTCCCTCCAACTTTCTCAAGTGTAAAACCACTCATCTATTAGCAAGATTAAGCCAGATACCGGTGCCTGGAACACTAGATTGTCACAGGCTGAGTTTTTTGCTGTTGCTTTGGACCAAAACACAGTAGAATCCAACCCAAGTTGACCTGAGATATGAAGGTGTGTGGCCATGCATCTGCAATCACACGTGGGAAGCAGCAACTCGAACACAGAGAAGAGCAGTATATTATATTATATTAAGATGGTTTTATTCCGTGCTTTCTTGTTGTTCTCCCTGCCTCCGGAGCAGATCAAGCACATCATCAGATCTATACTGCTACATTTGACTGTGGTTTTGGGGACTCTAAAATTCAGCCTTCATCCTTCAGACTCGGAATCAAACCAGAGCAACCAACCTGCTCAGCTCAGCTCACACATAAGCACCAGCTTCCTGCAGAAGCTGCTGATGCCCAGTTTCCAGTAAAAGTCACTGTTAAAACATAAATAACTGCCCGTTGCAGTTGCATGCACAACATAAACTGACAGTAGCAAGAAAACTTGAAACTCCTTACTAGTATCCCCAAAGTCCTTAGGCGTTACAAAGGTTTTTGCACAACTGTCTCTGAATACACACACCTATGTGCAAGCACACATAAAATTATGTTCTAGACACCAATAAATACGTACAGCAATGCAGCTGTGTATCTACTGAGAACACATCTGCAGACTGGGCTGCACACAAACCTTCACCCTGTTTAAGCATTTCCCATACTTAGCAGTGACCCTCCAAGACTGTATTATTTATTTCGCTCTGTTACAACATAAGCAAAGCCATCAGCATCACCACAGCAGAGCAACTCTTTTCCTTCAAAAAATGCTGATTCATCCTACATGGATAAGCCCCCCCGTTGGCCTTTTCTCGCAGGAGGAGCGCGCTCGTTATATCCATGAATTATTTTCTCTTACGGTTTGCATCCAAAGCTTCACAGCCTTACTCCCACTGTCCCCAATACAGAAGTTATTTTTAACTGACAGCCTCGCAAGGAGGAAGCCGAGGGAGAAACTGCATCTACCTCAGGGGCAACCAGGGGCAGCTCCCAGAATCACAGCACAGGCTTCCCGGGGGCGCGCGCCAAGCCGGCAGCCGGCGCGCGACGTCTCCCCCTCTCCTCCGTGCGCCTCTCCCGTCACTTCAGCAGGTTCTGCCTCTGCAAAGCAGGCGCTTAAATAATCATACACTTTCTGTGCTTATAAAGCCAGAAGCAGTCGTTGCCAAAACGCTGCTGCTGGTCTCATAATACAAATTTGCTGCACAAAAGAGTCGGTTGCCTTTTCAGCGAGAAGCTGGGGGATTTTAACATATTTTTAAGCAATGCTTGCTGGGGGGATGTTCATTTATAGAAGCCCTGCTGAAAGTTTTCCCTGTGTCTTTAACAAAACCCTTGTTAAGCAGGAAGTCTGATAAACTTCTGCTTATTCATTTACCCACAATATTGTTCTCCACTAGTGCCTGGAATCCCGGTGGCTTAATGCTGATACTGTACGTCACGCTTTGCCTACTGGAGAGTAATTATCTTGTTCTCACAGGAAGCCAAAGGCCCGAGATCCCTTGGTAATCAGCATTACAACGCGCGGGGAAAAAGTAGGAAAACAGACAGGCTAAGATGTATTATGCTCAGGGGGCAGCCTTATCAGAAACAAGCTCCGAGGAACTGGAGAGGGGAGAAATCCTGGAGAAGGGAGAAATCCGGGACCACAGGTGCTAGCATAAAATGAAATGACTCAAAGCAATTTAAATTTCTCTCTTAACAAGATGCTGACGGCCCTTAACACCCGCCATTAACTTCAAAGAGCGTTTGGAGAATTTGCACCGATTCTGTTCCCAAGGGAAGCCTCCTCTCTACCTTAAACTGCCCATTTAAACAGCCTTAAAGATAACTGATCCAGTTCAGTGACGGCTCTGTAGTCCTATTCAAAGGCACTAAATTCCAAATAAACTGGTCCTCACACAACAGTCTTTTCCTTTAGAGAGAACAGGGTAACAGAGTTCTGCCATCTTCCTGTGAGCAGCCTAGGTGACTACCTAAACTGCAACATTAAGCTATGCAGATGGTTAATTGCTCCAAATTAAGGCATTATTTCACCAAGGCAACTTATAGAGAACCCCAACGATGCCAGGTCCATAGCTGCTCTCCAGCCACACCTCGCACAAAACTTCACCACTATTCTGTTCAATCTCAACCGAAAGAGAATAGCCCAAACCTATTTTAAGCCCTAAAAGCCATGCAATATGTATTACTCCTGCTTTCATCTAAAACATCATGTTCTAGAAAATGAGGTATTTTCAGAGCAGGTGCTTTTGAGTCTGAAATACACATTACAGACACTTTCACCTCCACTCTGCAGCCAAAAGAGGCTAAAGCTGAGTGATTCATGACTGCAAAGCTCCCCGAAATGGTGCTTTTAGATGCTGTGGAACACCGAAGACATTGGTGTTCCCACATTAGGGTTGGGCACAAATGCATTAAAGGAGTCCTGCAATGGAGCCGTGAGCTCCCCAGGCCTCACGAGGACTCTGCTATTGCACCCACTTCAGGAACGGGAAGGTCTTTGTTCCTTCGGAGCCACCACCATTTAAGCCGGTGAGATGCTGCAAAAGAAGCTCCCCACAGACCACAACGCTGAGGCCACAACGCTGAGGATACTCAGGTTTGCCCTTGTATAATTGTCCTTTCCTTACTCCTGGCACTCAGATGCCGGTGCACATTCCCCTTGTGTTTTCCCCCAAACAAGCAGAGTTCAGTCTGTTACCGGGAAGCAGCTACAGGTAAAACTACAGCCTGAGCCCCCAGTTCCTCCTTGCGCAGGGGCTATTCCCACGTGTGGGCAGCTGAACGTCCATCGCGCCGAATCCCCGCGCTGGATACATCAGCAGTGTCCTGCAGCGCTCAACGTTCCCGGTTTCCCGAAGGTCCAGCCTGTGCAACCCCCTAGCGCGGGCACTCTCACCCCCACGCAGTTCCATGGGAAGACCAAATGTTAACATTTTTGGCCAGAAATGTGCATTGGACATTTGAAATTAGCCCCCAAAAAAGGGTGAGACTGACTGTGAGTGGATTATTATAAAACACCTGATATCAACACTAGTTTTTCACAGCAGTCCCCTTCCATCCTACAGCGTTTTGCATCTGCCTGAAAGAAAGGAAGTTTGTTGGGCTGCGGCATCAGGAAGGTCGGGGAACTGGTGCAGCCCTAAAAAGATGGGAGTTCTTTTGCTTTTGTCTGCTTATTTTTTAGTTTGATTTGTAATATGGTCACAGAACAACTTAGAGGGCAGAATATCCCAGGGAAGGGAGGGAGCAGTGAGGACCAGAGTTCTTAAATCTGTAAGTTAGTATAAGATATTTCATAATCACAAACCACAGCATCTTTGAGCAGTAATACATCAGCTGCAAATGGCTTTATTTAATAAAATACTATTTTTATTATTATTAATGGCTGTTATTTTTGAAGGGAGATTTATACTACTTGACTAGATTTTAAGTCTAACAAATGAAGCAGCATAATGCACCACTGTTACTTACTCTTCAAAATTAATCATAACTAAGGAAATTTGGGCAAAGAAACTGTGCATCACATTGCAGCTTTACAGTTCCACTTGGAACTTCTGACTATTTGCTGTTGAATATCTTTCAAAAACTAAAAGAGATTTTAAAATGAAATCTATTGCAACAAACAATGAGCCTTTAGGAAACTTCTCTCCACCTTAGCCCTTAATCTCCTAACTAAACATGCAACTTTTCCAATCAGACATGTTTTAATTAGTTGACTTTTTTTCCATTACACTAAGATCTGTTAATCAAACAGCTTTGATACAACTTCTTTTTCTCCAGAATAGGCACATACCAAAGCTACTCTAAATCAAACTTCAGGGGGATAGAAGGCTCCTACAACTAGGAGAACATTTATGCTCATACACAAAACTGGTTTTCTCTTCACAGTTCTGGGAAAAGTCAGCAGCAGCAGCCTGCTCAATAATGCAAAAAATCTGCCCACTTGTTTCCATGGGGAATTCTGAAAGGGAAGAATAAACATCACGTCCCTTGTTACTGTGCGGCGTGTATGCACTTACTCACATAACAATGTACTAAATTTGCAGCTACGTATTTTCCAAAGAAAGCATCTAGAAAAGACAAATTTTACAAATATATAGGGTAATCTGCATTATAACATATTTAGACAGACTGCCCTAACTGCCTCCTGTGTAATAACAATAAGGAACGATTTTCCCAATTCAATATCCCAGATGGAGGGGAGGGAAAGGCTCTTTCACCTGCTCTGCAGAGCAAGGGGTGCGAGTGCAGCCCCGGGACGAGCACACTGTAATGCACGTGAGTTCAGCAACACCCCAGCAAGATTCACCCTTGCTGAATAAAAACATGTAGGAAGAGCTGATTGCTCCTAACACTCTGGTGGAGGAGGAGAGTGTTCAGCCAGTGCACTGGTAGGTAATGGACTCTGAGACTGCTGAAAACAAAGGATGGTTGGAAATAAATCTCTCTGAAGACATCCTTGGCTCCAGAGCACACCCCTGCAAATGCAGCTAGTTCAGACAGCAGCAATTAACATCTTTGTTCATTAACTATATACCCTACCAGAAGGCATTTCTCGAGTTGTATTAGTAGTACTACGCCGTAATACGCGGCGCAGCGCAATTTGTCTCGCTCTCGACATGGAAGAATTTACTGCCATGCACACTTGTCATAAAGACTTCTAGGGGCTTAAAGTCAATGCTAACCTCCTGGAGATTGACCTGATAAGAAAACAAACAGAAAGAATA